GTTTTTTAAATGCCATTCTGCCTCTAATACTTCATTCATAAGTGCACCTGTAAGTACTCTATACAATAACACTTACAAAACAAATGCTGACCCAGCACAGCAGATTAGCAAGCAGCAGGGTCTGAGTAACTGAATATTAACAGCTACTTCAAAAACAAACTAATGAGTTTCAGGTAACTAGACTCGATTAATGGTGTTGCTACTTAAATAAAATGAAGAACAAGAGTAGGTCAGCAACATTCACAGAAAAATAAAGAAGCCACTTTGAAAACATTTAAGTTAAAAAGACAGAATAATGTAACAGCCATATGGAAGTGCTTCCTAATTTTTTTAAGGAATGCCAGTAGTAGTCTTAATAGAACTGACACCCCTGTTAACACTTTCAGTTTAAGTGAATTCAGTAACAGCTTTTGAATGACCTGATTCACCTGACCCAACAGCTGTGGCACAGATCCTGCAAAATTGCAGAGCTATTCAATAGTTTGGGACTCCACACCTTTTCCATACACCTTTAATATTTAGGCCAAACAGAGACCATCAGGTTGATTTCCTAGCCCCACGACTGTCTTGCTTCCTACCACAGAGTTTTGTGAATTAGATGGCAGGACAATGCATCATAGATACCATGGAGAGCTCTAGTAAAGGGACATTTAAACAGTCATTGGCACATGTACCAGGCCGGAGGTCATTCACTGAATAGCAACTATGTCATTGTTTCACAAGATAATTTTGAATCCTTAGTACCAGATAAAAGGGAACATTAAGGAAGAAGTTCAAGCCCCAGGCATTTAAAAGGAATATGGTTATACAATCCTTTCAGAGGTAACTCATTTACAGCCAGTAACATTTCCAGAAGACATGGGTAAAGCAAGAGACAATCAAGCTTGCAGAATGATGGAAGACCATTCAGAGCATATTGTTGCTTCCTCTTGTTCTCTTTGCTTTAAATTCAATGCAGGATTTTATAGTCCCTTTGCACAAAGAGATGACTATATATTTTTCTCCATAATTCTGCAGCAGTCTTTGTCCTATATGTTGTGGATCTGTCTCTCATGGCATATAGACGACCTTGCTTCAGTGAGATAAAGACAGCATGCCCACTTCTGAGCAAACCACATCTTCACCAGTTCTGAACATAGTGTAGTTCAGGAGCACATTTGACTCAGGGCATGGAGAAGTGGGAACAGGGAAACCAACTTTCACTGGTAGCACAGGCTCCCTGTCACTCACAGCAAGATCAGCTCCAGCATATCCTCTGCAAGGCACAGGAGAGAGCAGAGGGATAAATAAGATTTGCCACTTCTTTGCAGCCCCTCCACCTCCCCAAGGCAAGACACTCATATTGGGAGCTGTTGAATTATAAACTGAGGAAGATATCCTCCTTCTGCACCACTCCACTTGATAAAACCAATACTGAGCCACACTTTAAGGACTGTGCAAGGCAAGGAATCATTAATCACATCTGGAGATGAGCAAGAATCCAGACCATGCTGCAGCAGGCAATGTAAAACGTTCCCTGTGAGAAAACACAGCCTGGCAAACTGGCACTCTGCCCTTCTCAAAATCTCAAGTGGTATTCAGGGGCAACCTTATTAGACGATGCTACAGTACTTCCACTGTTAAGCAGTCACAAGCACAGCACACTCAGCTCCCAAAGTTCATGGTATTAAAATAATAAATTAGAAACACTTGTCTCTCTGCAGAAGTGCCTGCAGCACAGTCTGGGACAAGCAGCAGGAGGCAATGACTGTGCAAGAGAAGGGTATAAACAGCAGGAGGGAAATGTCGAGTATATCAAAGGATGCTCCAGATAAACAAAGCTACTCTTGTCATGAACTCACAGGCTGCAGTGTGACATCATTATGAGCCTTCTACAAGAGCCTTCCCTGTGAAGCTTCTCCCTGACCCTTTCACACAGCATACAGGTCTCTGAGGTGGAGCCTTCTATGAGACTTTTTAAAGGTTTCCTTCTGTGAGGAAATTAAAAAAAAAAAAAAATTAGTATGCAAGACATAAATTTAGACTCAATCCCACATGAAATTCTATCTTGTTACCCATTCTGAACTATGTTAAGCAAATCAACGTAGTTCTAAAGTCCATAGCACGTTGTTCTAACTGTAGTATGGTGATTTTCAAATGTGCTCCAGCTGTTTGATTGAATAATGTTCAAAGTCCCTAAGCATACTAGTTAGCACAGTAGTTCTCAAATATCTATTACTTGAACATCAATCAGGTGAGATAGAGAGAGATGTACAATCTAAGAACTCACTTTAACTACACTAAAATTTCCAAGGTGTACATGGCCTTGAAATTCCAATTCAGCTATCTAATATTATAATGTTCTAAAACCTGGGAGTGTTTTACTCTACCCTGTATTAACAAAAGAATGAATTCTGAACAACTTCAAAAACAGGAACAAAGTAATTAATAATTTTCAAACACAGCTAATGAATCTTTCAGTGTCCCCCCCATAAATACAGTCACACATTGCTATACACAATACTATTTCTAGTGTTAAAAGAAAGGAGCAAGGCCCATAGTGCTTCAATGGCCTCAAAAGGGTTTATTTTGTAAGCTCATGTTTAGCTTCTAAGAAGTGCAATGTTCTTCCTGATTAGCTTTATACTATTTGGACACTTAAATACCTATCCCAATGAATCAGATGGAGGAACTACCAGTAGGTACTTTCTCCAGAAGAAATTGGGAGGCTCATTTTAGCTATCCAACTTTGAAAACCTTATTTCTGAGCTCCCCAAGTGGGATACCAGAGTTTCAACGGTGGAATTGCCAGATAAATCTGCTCAGCATGGAATACTTTGAGCAGGCTAATTCAGTTGGTAATGCTGGTAATGAATGTCTGTAATGATGACAAGGATCCTGATGAAGTACCACTGTGCGTTTTACAGGCACAGCCCGTATAACCAACTGATCTGTAGGCAAGTAGCAGACTTTTCTTTCAGAGAAGCAGGCTTCTTTACATCCAGCTGGAGCCTCTGGTATGAGAAGGCTGTGGGTCACAAGAAAACTGAACAAATACCTCCAATCTTCAAATCCAACCAGACATAACAAAGAAAAAGACAGGCAATTCCTGGAAACTGAGGACATATGGTAGCCCTTGCATTGTACAATGTCCCTCAAAGGCAACTATCTTATAATACAGAGGCAACTGTATTATAATACAGACAGCAATGCTGGTACTTCCACAGGGATAAATTTATAGAATCATAAAACATTAAGTGGTTGGAATGGACCTTATAAATGACCTGGTTCCAATCTTCCCTGCCATGGATAGGGACACCACCACCCACTAAATCAGGTTGCTCAAGGCCTTATCCTATCTGGTCTTGAACAGTGCCAGGGTTGGGGCATCCACAGCCTCTCTGGGCAACCTGTTCCAGTGTCTCACCACCCTCACAGTAAAGAATTTCTTCCTAATATCTATAACCTAAATTTCCCCTCTTTGAATTTGAGCCCATTACTCCTTGTCCTATCACTACAGCTCTGGATGGAGAGTCCCGCTCTGGCTTCCCCATAGGCCCCCTTCTGACACTGGACACTTGCTATGAGGTCTGCACACAGCCTCACAGCAACCTCTTCTCCAGCCTGAACAGCCCAATTTTGTCAGTCTGTCCTCAAAGGGCAAGTGCTCCAGTCCTCTTATCAACGAAAGGCAGCTTTTTGTCTGGCCTTATTACATACTTAATAATCACTCCTTGTATACAAGAGGACAACATATCACAATGAATCAAAGTTCACCCATTAAGATCTCCCTACATGCTCATTCCCTCTTTCCCCTCAATGCAACAGTGTGTCTCAAAGTCCACACACTGTCAAATACACATTTCTGGCAAGAATACCTTGAGTGCAGCTTTACCTGTTAGTAGTTTTGACCATAACCTGAAGTTTTGAAGAATCAGAGAGAAGCATGACCTAAAAAATGTATCATAGTGAAATGAATTTAAACATGCTCTTAAAATGCTAGCTGTAAAAATGTACTGAATTGTTGAAAGTGTGCATTCTGTTAAACTCTGCCCTTCCTACAGATCTTACTAGTAAATAAATAACAACAGTTACCTCAATGCAGCAGCTGGTGTCTGTGCCAGAGCAGAGTATAAAAGAGCAGTGTCAGTTAGCATTCAGCTGCTAGGCCAAAAAGATTTTTATGCAGCTTTAAAATCACATTATAGAAAGATAAAAATATTTACTGTTTATATTTGTATCACTGAACAACAAATTGGACCCTACTGAATGAGACTGTGCAAACATGGAGAGAAGTTTGTGTACAAGCCACTTGGATAAGTCAGTGCTTATTACAGGTGCTCCATCCTTTAGACACATAATAAGGTTAATGATGAATATTAATAAAGCTCACCTCTCAGCTCTCAAAAATAGTATCAAAACCACAAGACTGTTGGAAACCTCGAGAAAACCAAAGAAAACCCTGAACACAAACCTCAAAGCTTTGCTGTGCACAACTGAAGGGCAGAGCAGGGTGCAAGGGTGGCTCTCGGGCAAAGCACACGGGCAGGAGGCGGGGAGCCAAAGGCACACGGCGGGGGGATGCCAAGCCCAGGGACCCCCCGGCCCAGGGGGCAGCCAGGAGATCCGGGACAGCCAGGCGCCACCGGAGCGCTCTGCCCGGCCATGCCGAGAGCGGCGGCAGCAAACGGAAAGCACCGAGAGAACCCGAAGGGCTCGGGGTTTAAGTGACAACTGGGACTCCAGAGGAGGTCAGCACGGTACCAAACTGGGACTCCAGAGGAGGTCAGCACGGTACCAGAGCGCTGCACTGCGCCCAAAGCTCAGCCTGAGCGGGGCGCACACGCGGCGGGGCAGACACGGGCGGTGTTTCCGCGGCGGGGCTGCGGGGACAGGCTGGGGCTGCGGGGATAGGCTGGACAGGCTCGGGACTGCAGGGACAGGCTGGGGCTGCGGGGGGCGCGGCCGCCCCGCTCCCCTGCCCTCCCTGCGCTGCCCGGCTGGGGCGGGAGGTACCGTACCGGCGGGCAGGAGGCATTCCAGCGGCGTGAACGCGCGCTCCATGGCCCGCGGGACGGTCAGGCACACGGCACTGGCACGGGCGGGACCGCGGCGGGGGGGCAGGCGGGCAGCAGCCGTGCCCCTTCCCGGTCTCCCCGAGGAACGCCTACAGCCACACGGCCGCGGCGGCCGCTGCGCCGGCCCTTGCAGGAGACAGGCGGCGGCGCTGCCCGGGTACCTTGGGCCGCGCGTTCTCCTACATCCCCCGGCCGGGACCAGGGACCGGCACCGGCATGGAACCGGCACCGGGACCGGGATGTGCTTGGCACCGGGGCGGCAGGGCAAGCCGAGGGAATCGATGGCCGCCGCAATCCGTTGCTCGGCGGTTGATTCAGCAGCGGAGAGGAAAGGCGGGACAAGTTGATTGGCAGCAGTGGAGGCCTATGGGCGTGCGCAGAGGGGGCGGGGCTAAGGGAGGGCCCCGCCCCCGGCAGCGCCTGAGGCGGGAGAAGGAAAGAGCGGGGGGAAAGGGACAAGGACGGGGGCAGGAGAGTCAGGGAGGGGACAGGGAGCGAGCGAAGGAGTACCCGGCCTCTCTGGGCACCTGAGCAGTGCCCACCTCGGTACAGCGACGCTCGGGGAGGGCCGCGAGCACCTGGGGCGCTGTGCCGAGCGCTTGGCTTGGAGGGAAAGCCTCAAATGGCTTTCATGGAAACTGGAGAGAAATAAAAAGTGCCAGGAGTGCTCGTGCCCTCGCATGCCGCCTGTGTGCCGGCGCCCTCGGGATGCAGGGAAAGCCGTGCCGGAGGGCTGGCAGCATCCCGGCTCTGCTGTGCCCGCCTGTGCCCTTGCAGCGCACCCAGAATGATGCGGCATTCCTACGTGCCCCTCAAGTCTCAGTCAATAAAATCTCAATAACATCACAAAACTTGTCAAATTCGTAGTTTCTTCTCGCTCAGAGCTCTTAATTAGGGCGTTAATCGTCTTCAGGCATAAAATGGACAACGCTGCACAATTCAAGTTTGCTCTGGGAGCATAGGGGACAAGTTGTGACCGCTCACGTGTGTCAACAATGTGTTCCCACCTCCTGGAGCGGCCTTGGCCCTGCAGGAGCCCCTCTTCAGCCGCTCCGTCAGGGGCAGCCTCGCACGCAGCGGCGCTCCCGTGCCCGGCTGCACGGAGCGGAGCTGGCACGGCTCTCCCGGGAGCTCGCCGGGAGCGCAGCGGAGCGGGGCCCCGCAGCAGAGGGCAGCAGAGGAGCGCCGGTCCTTCCCGCCATGTCTTCCCGCCGTCCCGTCCGTCTGTCCGTCCGCCGCCCCGGCAGCGCGGCTCGGAGCGGCCGGGAGGGTCCGCAGAGCCCCGCTCGGAGCCGCCGCGGGCTGGACCAGACCGGAGGACAAGGTCTCCTTCTCCTTGAGAAAGCATGAGCGAGCTCCATGGGCTAGATGCTCACAGGGGTATTTTCCAATGTAATAATTATGTGGTTGTTTGTCAGTGAGGATTTCCAGTCAAATTGAAGGGAAGTGGGACCAACATGTCAAGCCCATTCCTCGACCCGTCCTGTTAGTCTGAGATTCACACTCAGATCAACGTGATTTAAGTGGCTTCAGTGGTGGGCTAGGTTGGGCTACATGTTTAGGACAAGGGGGTCTTGTCCGTGAGAGTTTCCAGTCAAATCGAAGGGAAATGGGACCAACATGTCAGCCCATTCCTCAACCCGTCCTGTTAGTCTGAGATTCGCACTCAGATCAACGTGATGTAAGTGACTTCAGTGGTGGGCTAGGTTGGGCTACATGTTTAGGACAAGGGGGTGTGGCTCCAAACTGAAAGAGGGCAGGTTTAGATCGGATATTCGGAAGAAACCCTTTAGGGATTTACAGTGTGGTGAGGCACTGGACTGGTTGCCCAGAGCAGTTGTAGGTGGCCCAGCCCCGGGCGTGTTCAAGGCCAGGCTGGATGGGGCTCTGAGCAGCCTGGTAGTAGAAGGTGTCCCTGCCTACTAAAGGGGGATTGAAATGATCCAGATGACCTTGAAGGTCCAGTTCAACGGATACTATTCCAGGATTCTGTGGTTACCACTTTTGACTATAGGTGCACCTTTGGTTTTAGTGGTGCAAACACCAAACCTTTGCTTGGACCTTTCAGAAAAGCTGCCCTGCCACCTGTAAGAGACTACTACATTGTATAAGCAATTCTGGTCCACAAAGGCTGATAGAAATTTAGAAGTATTGCAAGTGTTCGTGCCTTGGCAATGAGAGAAATGAGAGATTATTAGGAAACAAGGAAAAGATATTAAGGACATCAAAAGATTATAGTTGTTTACACTACAGAAATAGAAAATGGTTTGTTATGCTTTTGTGCCATTTAAAATTTTATTTCCTCTACATTGAGGACTTGAATTTCAAAGGCTCTTAGGACATTGGTGTCGTCTCAGGGTCCTTCTTCAAGCAGGTTAGAAACAACCAGAATTAGGAAGAAGCAGCTTGCTGTCTTTTCCAGGAATGGAGACCGTGTGGGGGCTATCATGCATGTGGCCAGTGCTCTCCTCCTCTTAATTACATTCTCTTCCACTCTGCCTCCCCACCCTGCTTCCTTTCGATTTTGACAGGCACTTTTCAGTTGCCTGGTAATACTATTAAACCTTCTCCAGGATAGCTTGTTTTTCTTCTTCAGTATCTTTCAGTGTCTTTGTCATTTTGTTTTTTAATCGCTCTTGAGGGGGTACTATCTGCTACAAGTAGTTGCTGATAAGCAGGTTCTTATGCATGAGAAGAGTCGTACTTGCTCGGAGGGAAGGTCCAATTCAGTCAGGGCCCTGTTCCTGGCATTGTTCATTTACAAGTCTTTCTCCTCCTGTTCCCCTCTTCAATTTCTTTTTTTTTCTTTTTTTTTCTTTTTTTAAAATTTTACTGTAACTTCCCCTCTTCAATTTCTTTCTTTTTTTTCTTTTTTTTTTCTTTTTTTTTTCTTTTTTTTTTTAAATTTTTCTGTAAATGCAACAGTTTCCATCTCTCCATTCCCTTCATGTCCCAGAAGATGCTTTTTCCACCTCTGTCACATCTGGGCTTCCAGGCAATCCTTTACCAGCCACGGTTGCAAAAAAGTAATTGTACCTCTCTCTGCTAATCATAGTAATGCATGATTCATCACAATAGCATTGCAGAGAGAAATCAGTCTTGAGAGACCAGGCTGGTACTAGTACGCTTTAACTCTTTTCAAGATGAGCAAGGGTCTGCAAGGTAAGGCAAACTGCCAGCCCACTACACAATTAGGCAAAGGGCAAACAAGGCAGACACTTCTCTCTCTAAACCCAGTTGTTCTTTCACTGCTCTTTCCTGCAAATACAAATCTTTCATCCAGAGTATAAAGCTCTTTCAGAATCAGCTCCACAGGAATAGCTTTAGTAGATGCTATAATGCACTGATTTTGAAGGCAGGACCTGACAGCTATTTAATACTGTTTATCAGAGCCTAACAAAGGTATCTAGTAGAGGAAATGTAGAGAGCAAAATTAATAACTCCATGCAGACTGGCACATTGTCTTATCTATAAGTCCCTTAAGAACACTGAGCAGTCAGGAGCCTGATTTGCTGTTTTGAAAAATAAGCACTTTCAACTCCTTTTTGCACTTTACATCTGTGCTAGGACATCCATTGAATTATCCTGTGAAAGGCTACCATTTAATAAACTTAGTGATATTTTTCTTGTCACACATGAGAAATTCCTCAGTAAATATGACACCTGTTTTTCTAGGTAGGATATAGATTGAACAATTCTTTTTTCTTTTAGCTGGATCTCAAACGAAACCTTTTCCCCTGTTCTTTTCCTCTGGTTGTACATGTCTACATTACTTTGCAAGATTTGCAGAACAGTGTACAGAGAGACTATTCAAAAAAGACATCCCTGGAGCACGGATATTGTGCTTTGATTACTACTGTCTCCTCTGATTAGCTAAAAGGAGGGCAAGTGACCTCAAGCCCAAGTGAGAAAATAAACAGGCAAGCAGATGTATTTCCTGAGTGACAGATCGGGCTGTCTGACAGAGAAAGTTTCAGAGTGACAGGCAGGAAGGGTTGAGGGAGTATTCACACCCTTTAAACTTCCTCTGGTAACTACGCAGCCAGTCATGCCTCTCACCCGAGATATCATCCATTAGGTTTGTACAGGCTTGATGATTGGACTGCGCAGAGAGAAAATGCAATTTATATATATATATTACTATATATACATTTATATCCATAAAAGCTTATTCCTAGCAGACTCCAGATAGCTTCCTCTTCTTTAGGAAAACTATGCTGAGGAGTGGTCAGTTGGGCAGCTTCTGTGGAACACAGTTATGACGTTACTGGCAGTGCTTTTCAGCACCACTAAAACTGATCGGGTGGGAAGGGTTGAAGGGTGATTAAGAGGGCAGCAGCTTTTATTTACTCATAACATCTCCTGGGACTTAGCAAGGAAAGAACAGGGAAGTGGGATTGCTAGGGGATTTACACAACGGGGCTAAAGCCTGCAGTGTTTGCTGTTCTTCCTTAGGATGATCAATCTCTGTGTATCCCGGTACAGATACTCTGCTGAGGCTAACTTGTAGTAGCATTAGATGCTCTCAGGATTTCTTTTCCTTCGTTCAGATAGACTAATCTAATTGAGACTGAAAGATTTAGAGGTATTTGGGGACTTTGTCCAGCAAAATGATAGGACGTGTCTCTCGCATTCACAGCATAATGCCTCTCTCCCAGATGAAAGTCAAATAGGCCTGGTAATGCCAGACATGATCATTTAATACTTTATTTTTTGCCCCCTCTCTTCTTACATTTTTCACCAAAATGAGAATCATATCTCTGTGCTTGACTGAAAGTACTTTAGGTTCTGTTCAAGGGCTACGGCAGATTTCACTAATTGGCATTCTGAAGCCTTTTGATTGAAAATTATGTAGAATCAAAACTACCCAGGTACCTTCAGAGGTCTCTCTTGGTGATGTCTGAAGCAAGCTGCTTGTAAAGCAGGGTGTATTTGTTCCTCCAGCTACTCTAATTTTATTGCTAAAAGAGAACAGTCCGTACCAAGCTGGCAATCAGGATTCATGGAACATGTAAATGTTAAGAATACTTTCTCCTTCCCTATACTAAAGGGAATCCAGAGTTAAAAGCTGGGATGGTTCATTCTGGTACCTATTCTAGCATTTATGCAAAATAATAAGGTTGAGAATGTTTAGCTAACTCAACTGTCTGATTGTCTGTACATCCCTAAGTGCTTGATAATTCAAAAAAATGCAGGCATAAGTAGATAAATGGGATGCTTTATTACAGATATATCCTTGCAGTTCTTCTGTGCCAGCAATTTAAGTCCTCATAACCTTCTCAAAACTCAAACACCAATTTGAAAGGTACAGACATAGAGGGAAAAAAAAACCCCTGC